GCCCAAAGACTTATTTCATTTATACTATAAGTTTATTTTGTTCATTGAAAGATTTTTGTCCTTTGCTTGTTTCTTCTTTGTAAGGAGGAATCTTTTTTATGGCTTGCACTCTGAGTAACATTTTGGCCATTCTCACAAAATCATGATGCGAGGTATAATAAACATTGTTATTTTCTTCTTATTTTGTCGCAAAATAAAGTGTTATATATTTAGTGTTTTTTATATTTGCTTTTTAAATATCTACTTTTGTTTCATTAAAATTTTCTAAACAAATGAAAAACTTGTCATTGAGTTCCATTGCAGATCAACACTGCACTTTCCCAGAGGGCCGCTAGGAGCCTGCAGAGTGTTTCATCAGCTGCCTTCTGGAGCAAGTCTTCCAGATCAGGTTAGAGCCTGACCACGGCTTTCCCTCCACAGTGGCCTTGGCGACCACCGGAAGGACGAGTGGGGAGCTGTCACTGAGCAGGTGGAGCCTTAGGGAGAGAAGCCGGGGATAGCTTGGTAACTGGACAGCTCATTGCTGCTGACCCACTGGAAGGAGCAATTAATACTTACATTTATTTTCTCCTTTTCAATGTTCTATGATTTCTTGTACTAATTTTGCATGCTTATATCTGGTAATCTGAACAATTAACTTGAAGACAATAGTGTGCAATACAACAACTATTGTTGAATTCCTATTCTTTTGTTTAGTGAAATTTTAAATTGTTTTAGTGTGGGGTTTTTGTTTGTTTTATGATTTTTATTTTCTTCAACAAAAGAGAGAGAGACATAGTCATAGCTGCAAGAGAGAGAATCTAGGTGTTTAACCCCTGGCTAAATCTCTATCTTGATAGTTTGCCCCATGCAATAGTGCCTTCGGGTTTTGGTTAAGGTGAAGTCAGACATTAAACCTGTCTTTTGCCTCTGTTCCAATTCTCTGGGTTTTCCCACCAACTTCCTAACCAGGCTAACTTTCTCTGATACTACTTTTTTTTTTTTTTCTTCATCTCTTTTTATCCCACTTCTCATTTTGTCCCTTGCCTTGATATTTTTTTCTCTTCCCCATCAGAAAGAGGAGGAGTCATCACCTTTCTCCCCTACTGCTCGTCTACCAGCGATAAAATAAGAGGGCAGGCTGCAGAGACCGCTTCCTGCCAAACAACACTGTTTTTAAGAAGTCGCTGTCAGCAGAAGTGGGCCAGAGGTGTGAAAGATGTGGAATGGTAACCAAGAGGTAAAGGGGATCGTTAAACATTAGAATTCTTTTTCTTTCTTTCTTTCTTTCTTTTTTCTTCTTCTTCTTCTTTTGAGATAGCCCTTTTCTCCAGCTTCCTCCTGTGATAGTGTAAACACCCACCCCTCCTCTTCTCTGCTCAGATGAAGGGGTGAACTTCCTGGAAAAATTGCATTCCATCTTAAAAAAATAAGCAAGTGCTGCCCCCAAGAGGTCAAAGTCTGGCTTTGGTTTCAACAAGCCAGGGATGGGCAGTAGAAATTGGCCTGAAAGATGGAAAGATTTTGGAAACTTCCTTCCCCATCCAACAACTTCCTGGCAAAAATAACCCTGTACAGACAGAAGTTTGAAGTAAAAAAAAAAAAAAAAAAAAAAAAAAAGAGGCTCTTCTATCTCCTTGGAGTTGGTTTTGGAGACATCATTTTCTTTCTTCCAAAAGTTTCTGCTTCTGGGGCTAGGGATATAGCTCAGTAGAATAAGCGCTTCCCTGGCAAGCACAAGGATCTAAGTTCAACCCCCGGTTCCGCCAAAAAAACCAAAAAACAAAACAAAAATAAAACAACAACAAGTTTCTGCTTCCAGTGTTTTGAGGAAACAATAAATAGTGTGGACCTTAGCCACGGGTAACCCACTCAGGAGAGTCTGGGAGATCCCAGGACAACACATCCTTGTCTGCCTGCAACAACGGGAAGGATAAGGAAAACAGGGAAATAAATAAGGGGACAAGCCATGAAAACAAAAGCAGATAGTAACCCAACCCTTTCTTTCCTTCAGTCCCCTGACTCTTGGCTGTATTACAGTCTAGGAAAATGAAGCAAGGAAAAGCTCTCATGGGAGAAAATCTCAAATTCATATCATAAAGTGAATATAGCCATTTCCTCAGCCCTATACATGTGTGACTACACTTACTCATTATGTACAACACTGTAGAGAAAATAGCCTGAGAGCAGCCACTTGCATTCTTTACTTATCTAACCCCGTGACTGTTCCCTCCATAGATACATCCAATACCTTCTCTACTAAAGTCATTCTTCCACTAACTTCCTTGTTCCTAAGAGCAGGACAGGAGAAGATGTACATGAGAATATTGTAGGCAGTGGAGTTAGATAGAAATATTACTGCAAGTCAGGCCGTATAATAGGCCCTAAAGGAGCCAACATGGAAAACAAGATACCTTTAACCAACTGTGGGAGGGACAGGCACTCCTGCTGTGGGCCAGATCTCAAGACAAAAGATTACCCAAACACACCCACATACCTCCTTAGGGATGGACAGGGATTGATACTCTAAATTGGTATCTGGAACCAGAAAGAGACACTACCCCAACCCCTACAGGAAAAGCCCCTGTATGGTGGTCAAGACTCACTTTCCCATTTGATCCTGATTTAATCAATTTTACCTGAGCAGTTATGCTTGTAAACTTAGTAGTTGACCATAGTTTCATCCCACCTCATGACCCGCCTCACCTCCTGGTTTTGCTCTATAAAAATCCGTAGGAAAGGCAAGTTCCTTGGCATACCATTCAGATCTCCTTCTGTCCCTCTCTTAGACAAAAATTTTCTTCCCTTCAATAAATTTATTGTTCTTTACCTCCATTGTTTCTAAAATTCATTTTTCAGTATTAGAGAACATGAACTCATCCCAGATATCTTTCAGGTTGGGAGCATCTTTCCCCTATGTCAATAGTATTGTAGATAGCTAAGTTAGTTGTAAATATTACAAGCAGTTAAACAGGGGTACAATCTCAGCACAGAAGCCAAAATGGAAACACACTGAAGGCCAGTCTTCAAGAAAAAGCCCAACTGCACCCACATACTTCCCCTAGGGATGAACAGCAGTGATAGATATTGTAAATAAGCATCAATCACCTTGCCTAGGGGAATAGAATCTCCCCAGCCCATTCCTTCCCAGACATCTTTGTTCTGTGGGGGTACACGTCTTACATGACTTGCTTCCCCATTTGATCTACATTAAATCAATATTACCCAAGTGTCTATACTTATTGTAATTGTAATTTATTCATTTGCCATAGTTTTGTCTCATCTTACACCCACTTTGTGATTTTCCATTGGACCAATATTATCTAAGGAAGTATACCTGTGACCTTATTAGCTGACTATGGATTTGTCCTACCTTTGACCCACCTCAAAGTATGGCTTTGGTCAGTGAAAACCCTAGAAAATTGAGTTGGTGGGAAACCCATGTCCTGGCCCCCGTCTGTTGTTTTTAAACAGAAGCTAACTCTCTCTCATAAATTCATCCTATCTTAGCCTCCACTGTTTCTAGAATTCATTCCTTGATTCCACAGAAAATGAACCTGGAGTTTCAGACCTATAGCAGGTTGGGAGTTATATCTGCCTTTTATTATTTGAATGTCTATATCATATGCCTTATATCAATAATATGTGATAGATTTGCCAGACATAAGGCTCTTGTGTGTAATGAACAAAGAATTGCAAGTGTACATTCAGTGTGCCTTCAGTGGTAAAAGAAAAAGCAGCTACCTTTATTGATGATAACAGGAAGACGTACTCTGAGCAAGGCAGTGACAACAGAAAGAAAAATGTAGCATGAACAGAAAAGTAGTGTCAGGATGACAGAAAAATAAAAAGCACAGTGATACATTGGGCTTTGCATTTTAAAGGATGTGCACTCCAGCCCAGGGGTCTCTCTCTGGGTCTCTGGATAAGACTGACAACCATGATTGACAGGGGGCTGAGTCCTGTCAGAGGGACCGTAGCTGCACATGTGTCCCAGAGTTCACACTGATTAGGTTAAATACGTGAGATGCAGTCCGTATGTATAAATCTCTCATGAGGTTGAAGAGGGAAAAAGGTTACTGAAGGTCAGGCCATGAGAACTAACACATAAGTGCTATGGCCTGAAGCTTTAGAGATATTCAAGATCACTGTTACGTTTTCACTCACTGGAAAGAGAATTAGGCCTAAGATGTTGACCAAACTCAGGCGGCTAGAAGGAAAAAGTATGTCCACCCCATTTGTGCTGTGTAGTAGTGCTGAAGAAAAGATCCTCTCATATCATGCACTCTACTGAGCATCTAAAGTGACCACTCTTCTGCTTTCAGTCCTAATTTGGAAGCATGGCTGGCTCGGTCTCTTCTCTCTTTCTCTCACTCTCCTGACTCCCCTTCTCAGTTCTCTGCTCCAGATTCTAACTGGGTCCAATATTTGCTTATGTGACAAACCATAAATAGAAAACATGGAGAGAGACTGAAATGCTAATGAAAAGAAAAAAAAAAAAAGCAGAGGGAAGGGAGTAAAACAGAGAGGCAGGCAGTAAAGATAGGAGGGAAGACAAAGGAGTATAAGAGTTAGGAAAAAGAAAGCTGTCCTGGCCCCAGCACAAACTCTGTTGTGGTCTATCTGCCCACACTGCACTGCCAGCAGATGACTACACCTAGGCCTGAGGTCTTCCCTGAGGCTCAGGGAAAGAAACCTGAAACATGTGGCTTTCCAGATGCACTAACAGATTTGCATCCACAGCAGGGCAGTGCAGTGACTCACGGTGCAAAGCCTATGAGTCATGTAATTGCCATGGAAGCTCAAGGGAGGCAGCCAGGAGGGGATGCGTAAAGGGTGCATGAAACTCTCACCCAAAGGTACACACAGACCAGACAAAGACTGATAACAACAGGGACAAAGAGAAGCAGCAGTTCGCTTGCCCCTGTCCAAGGCAAGAGTTACAAAAGAGAGGCAGAAAAACTAGGCATCTTTGCTCTATTCTGCCACCTCAGTTCCCAGGACCAAAATGCAAAATGATGACCCCTAAGGCAAAGAATTTTATTTTCAGAAGACAATGACAAAGAATACTCTGATTTCTCTTCTTGGGACCTTCTCCACAAGACCTCTAAGGAGAAGAGAACAAGATAAAGTGGTAGGGGGAGAGTAAATAGAAGAGAACAAGATGCAGAGAAAGAACAGGAGAAGTAGCTTCATTGTATAGCCGTTAAGTGGAGCTTCCTGTCCTTACAGCTCATAAGAATGACCTTTTCCATAATGAAAGTTAAATAATTGCAGTTAGGAGTGACTTGGTTTGGCTTAGATAACTTGCATAACGTCAAGTCAAAAGGCCGAGGGCTTCTGTGACACTTGGCCCCCTTGAGCTCACAGGCAACAGCAGGACTGTTGCAGACGGCCTGGACGGTGCTTGGGTCCTCGTGTATGAATGTGTACTCGGGTATGCAGCTGTGATTATGCTTCTTCACCTTGTGGGCCATCATGGCATTGCATTCTCTGGCCATCAGGTCAGACCTCAGATAGTCCCTGTAGCTCCGAAAGAGGGCCTCTGCTCTGAGAGCCCGGTGCCCCCCAGCCTCGTCTTCACTGAGCATGGTCTCTTCCGGCCATTCGGGTTGCACAACTGCTTTGTTGCTGAGTACCAGGGCTTCTGGGGTTTGAGTGACCTCTCCCACCTCAGTGGCCTCAGCCTTGTCCTGTGAGTCACTGGACCAGAACTCATTCAGCGGCTGGTCGCTGTCCTCCAGGACTGCTGCAGCCATGTGGAGCCCCAGCCCTAGGCCCAAGCCCAGGCCCAGCAGCAGCAGAAGCATGATGAAAAGGATCTGCACGAGGGTCAGCTTCATATTGCCTGGAGAAGAGAAAATAGAAGGACATGGTGTTGAAATTCAAACTGGCTCTTACAGAAACCAGGTTCACCCTAAATCATGTGACAGTGATCTCTAGCCATTTTGGCATAAGGCACCAGGTTCATGAAAGACAATTTTTAATTAATATATGTTTGCTATAGATAATAGTCACTTTCCCTGATCACTACTGTAGCCACCTCAGATATCAGGCATTAGATTCTCATAAAGAACACACAACCTGGATCCATTAAATGGGCAGTTCTTGCTCCTATGAGAAGATAATGCAGCCACTGATCTGACAGGAGGTGGAGCTCCAGGGGCCATGCTGCTGATGAGAAATAAACACAGCTGAAGCTTTCCTCACTGCCCGCCTCTCAGTTGCTGTGCAGCCCTGTTCCCACCCAGTAGCCATGCCGTGGCCCCAGGGCTCTGCGGAGTCCTCTGGCCTCTGTACATGACTCTGCTCTCCTAAGCTTGCGATGTTCCTCCTTCTCACTGATCCTGTGCCTTTCCACCATTGCTATGTACTGATCCTGAAGACTGGGAAGACAGCCAGGGAAATGGGTACTTCCGAAATTGATTTACATAGGAGGAGTCAGCAAGGGGAGTTAAAACCTATTGATTCTTCCTGGTTTGTCTGAGTTTTTGAGACAGCCGTTCACTATGTAATTCAGGTTGGCCTTGAATCCACTATGTAGCCCAGACTGGCCTCAAACTCAGGGCTACCTCCTACTCAGCCTCCCAAGTGTTGGAGTTACAGGCATGCACCACTATGTCAGGCTGAAAATAATTATTAAACAGAAATTACAGGTGCAGAGGCTGGGGGTTCAATCCCCAGGCCTGCCGTGCAGTGCTGGCCCTGCCTTGGAGGCGCACTGAGACAGCAATTGAGACTGGGCGTGGTGGCACGCACCTGTAATACCAGCTGTTGGGAGGCTGTAAACAGGTGGATCACTATGAGTCTGATCAGTAGTAAGACCCTGAACACCCTGTAGACCCTTCCCTAAAATAAAAAAATAAAAAAATTGGAATCTCCAAAGAGAAAAATGAAGGAGACAAATGGATCAGAGAAATTCTTCTAAATGCTTCTCAGTAGAGAACTAGGATTATCAAGGGAAAGCAAATCTCTATTTTATCCCCAAAGTACATTTGCTCATTACTATCACTACTGCCCTAAAATGATAAGAACAAGTCCCAAGTCAAGTCTTATCCATGAGCTGAGGCTGGAGGGAAGATGTCAAACACCACATCTCAGGCCCCTGCTAAAGCTACATCGTGTCATGCCAGAGTCCTTCCCTTGCTAACGACCTTAAGATGGCTTAGATCAAAATGTTCCTCCATATTCTCACATCCAGAGGTGGGGAGCTGGATCTTAGGGCTGCTGTGCTTATAATGGATGGCTCTGTTGGTGAGTCCAGAGCTGAGTAGACTGCTCAAAAGTGGGGCTTGGCCAGAAGGGGCCTCTCTGGGATGTGACTGGCAAGGCCAGATTCCTGTCCCTGGCTCCTCCCCTCTCTGCTTCCAGGCCACCACACACTGAGCAGCCTTCCTTCCCCTGCTGTTCTGCCTCTGAGCCCGCCATGGAGTGAACACAGGGCAGCTATGAGTCAAAACAAACCTCCTCTCCCTTAAATCATGGCTGTCAGGGATTTTGTCCCAGTGGTGGGAAAGTGAGTGACACAGACCCCTTATTACAAGGTATTTCTGCTAATTAGCTTTGTGTTCTTAAGGAGGAAATGGGCTAAGAATGAAATCAAAGAAAATCAAATAATTCACCTGTGGATTTCCTTACTAATAAAGAGCCTGGGAGGCGAGAGCGTGCATCCCTGCTCTGCTAAGCCAATCTCACCCCTTTATCTAACACAGAACCACTCTCTCAGGGGAAAAAGAAAAACTAGGAAGAACACTACTGATACAACTGGTAAAATTAGAACATTGTGAAGGAGGTAAAAGGTTTACATTAGTGTTTCATATAGTAAATTTTAAAATTGTAGACTGATTAATAGAATATCCTTGTTCCTAGAAAATGCACACCTTGGGGCCAGGTGTTATAGCTCTGCACCATAAGGATGTGTTTGGCATGAGCAAGGTCCCAAGTTCAATAGCCAGATATGAAAAAAAAGGAAATGCACATTGAAATATTATGGAGCACACTGTATGCAGCCTACTGTCAACATAGACTATAGGGGTATGTGTGCGTGTGTGTGTGTGTGTGTGTGTGTGTGTGTGTGTAAACAAGTGTAGGCTGGTAAAAAAGAAGAAAATGATAAAATCAACTGGGAAAACATTTCCAATAATGTATCTGGTTAAAAAGCATTCAGGTCTTCGTTATTACAGCAAACCTATCCTTCATTGCAACACTTCTCCAAATTGAAACCAAAAAAAGCCCATTTCTAAACATAAAGGAAAGTAACTTCCCATGTTTGCTGGGACAGCCAACACCACTGTGACTTACCTACACACCTACGGAACTTCAGGGATTCTTGCGCCCTATTCCCTAACTTCTTCCCTCCCAGGGATTTTTCTCTGTGAGCACTGCCCTGGGTGCTGGTCAGCATGGAGGTCATTTGCTCATGGCCTATGTGCTCTTAAACCAGGGTTGACTTCCTGAGCCCCCTCCCTGCCTCTCTCCTCCCACCCACAACCAAGTATACACAGTTTGCTAATTTGCCTTCCTGCTCCCACAAACACTTTGAAGTAGGGCTTTTTGGGCAATGCAACAGAGCCAGACGTCCAAGACAGGAAATGTCTCCAGCCAAGGAAACTGCTGACAGTTTTATTCCGTCAGCCACTGTCCCACTCTTAAATTACACCCACTAACTTGTGGTTTGTAACAGTCTGCCTTGGTGCATGAGCATCAAGTCTCACTGTCTTAGGTTCTCTCTGTGCACCTCCTTAAATCCTTCACTTCTATTTCTGAAATGTAAAGACTGTTGTCCTTTCTTTGGGTTACTTTGACAAGATGGTTGTTTCACTTTCCCCATTTCTATAACTGCATTACTTAATTTGAAGGTCTGGAGTACTTGGATCGATCACATATTTTCATGTACCTTTAGTTATCCTTTCCTCCAGCCCCCCACTCTCCTCTGTCTTTTTATCCTCTGGCCCATAACCACACACACTTAAGAACACATAGATTTTGCAAATCTGATTGTTTAACCTTAGCTGAAAGCTTATCCAAAACAGCACCATCCTTGTCAGTCCTTACAACCAAGGTAAATAAAACAAGGGAAGTTGTGATGTTGATCTTAAAGCTCACTTCTTTTGCTAAATTTGACATCGTGAGGTAATATTTTTAAAAGTGTTCTGTGAATTATTAAAGTACTTAAGAAAATCCTCTCTAGGCAACAATAAGGCCCTTAGGAGAATGTCTCCCTTACTCACTCTAGTAGTTTCCAAGTGGCAGTCTGAGAGCCATTTCTGTCATCTACAAGATCCACTGAGGTGGCGTTTTGTCTGCTGGAGTTCATAATCTACTGAAGTAGCAATCACTAACCCATGTCGACCACTTCTGGAAAGGCCTCTACTGTGTTTCACTCTTATGCTTTGTCTGTGCTGTCTCTCTTTGGTGTCCACTCAGCCCATTCACCCTGGTGAGGTCTCTTTGCAACCTAACAAAGAAGAAATGAATGCTGCTGACTCAGCAGGGGCAAGGGTCAGTAGGACTGCTACATTCAATCATAGGCTCAATCTGCATCTCTTTATTATTGGAGTGTTTTGGTTACCACTGAAGATCATTTGAAACTAAACTTTGATTGAAAATCAAGAAAGGGTCTAAGTCTGCAGTCTAAATGCAGCTGGTCATATTTTTATTTTAGAAGTTCCCTCTTCTAGGCTATATCTTTCTCATCTTCTAAATTTGGGTAATAGTAGCACTTCCCCCACAGGACTGACCTGAATATCATGCAAATGCTCCAAACTAAGTGTGTGAGCCCTTGTTCTTGCTCTTCCCCAGCAATTACCAATACATGCTCCTTCCCCACTCAATCAATACTGGTCTCCTGATTAATAATAGCTCATACTAAAGACCATACTACAAACACTGCTCACCGCTTCTCCTAGAACAAACAATAGCCTAGAATCTCCAAGAAGAAATTAGGAGTCCTACAGACTGACTCTTCATTTGACAATTCTCTTTAAATGAGTCCAAGAGGTTAATATCTCGTGTTACAGATGAGTAGTGACAGTTCTCACAATAGAACTCCTGACTCCTAGTTAAGCAAAATGTAAAATAAATAGTTGGCTATATGGAGACAAAAGATATCCTTAATCTGTGCAAAGGGAAGGAACAACTAGGAAGAGGAAAATGACAGAAAGAAAGAAAGAAAGAAAGAAAGAAAGAAAGAAAGAAAGAAAGAAGAGAAAAGGATGTATTTATGCACATATACAGAATAGCTTGGATAATTGGACTGCTGGTTTCTGCTGGCCTATTGAATGGAACCGTTAATGCTTAAATTTTTTTCTTCTCATTTTTTTTTTTTTTTTTGGTGGAACCGGGGATTGAACTCAGGCCCTTGCACTTGCCAAGCAAGTGCTTATTCCACTGAGCCATCTCCCCGGCCCCTCCTCTTCTCTTCTCATTTTTAATTTCTTATAATTTTTAAACCAATTTTGATGCTTATATCTGATAATCTAAAAAACTAATTTGAAGACACCATTATGCAACATAACAACTATTGTTGAATCCCTATTATTTTGTTTAGTGAAATCCTGCATCATTTCTAGTGTGTTTTTCTATTACTTTTTATTCTTTTTAAAATAAATAAATAATCAATCCCTGGTTCTGCAAAATAAATAAGTAAGTAAAAAGAAAAATGCAATCCACATAAGACTTGGGTTCTAAATGTCAATGCTTTCTCTCATTGTAAGTTAATGGACAGAGATCACCAGTGGGAAATGGCTAAATTGAGCCTTTGTGTCTTCAGCTCATTGCCTGGAGAGAGCAGCTGGCTGTAGCAGTGAGACAAGACTCTAGGTGGAGTCTGTAAATGTGCTTGAGGTC